TATGGGTAAGTATTATATAATAATATAATATAGGAAGTCATTTCGCTAGACCTAAAACATTAATATTCCATTTATAAAATAGTGGTTATTGTTTTTCTAAGACTCTTAGAACAGACATCGTAATACATGGATATGATGAATCTATTTTAAGAAAATAAAATACTTTAAAAGTCCTTAAATAAGGAGTAGGTAAATAATAAAATTTAGAATAAAATGAGAATTAGGATGATATTAATAAGGAAGATAATGAAGATTAAGAAGAAGATGAAGATGATGAAAATATAGGATTTGATGATCCAATAGAAACTAAGGAGGGAGAAAAGGATATTGTATTTTTAATTAAGGTTGAGAATAAGGAAGAATTGATAAAATGTTTTATTTAAAAATTATAAGAAATCTTAACTGAAAAACCAGAGTTAGCTTAACTTACAGATATGGATGATTTTCAAGAAGCAATAGATCAAATAATTAAATAATAAAATTAGATTAATTTTGAAATGTAATAAAGAATTTTACCAAATTTGTATTAAATGTTGACAATCAAAGATTAAATTTGGGATGAATTTGCTGAAGAAAATGGATTACAACATATAAAATTTAAAAATTCAAGAGATTCTGGAATATAAATAAGTTCAATAGTGTAATATTTTACACCTGAATAAAAATAGGAATTAACTAATTATCTTTAGAAACCAAAAATAAAATATTATTTATGTTAATATTGGATGAGAGGTATTTGCATTTTCCAAAAGAAAGACTGTAGATTTGCACATGGTCTTGAAGATTTGGAATTAAATTTTGATGTTGTAAGAGATTTTGAACAATTAAATTAAGAATAAAAACCATTAAGATATAATTAGAAACCATTAATAAATCATAGAACTTATACAATTTTATACTTATAACAATATAGGATGATTGATTAAGGAGCATTGGAAAAACACTAAAAGAGAAATATCTTTTAAATTGATAATTTGAAGGAATATAGAGATAAGATTAGAGAATTTATTTCAAAAGAAATGATAATTAATGTATATAAGAAAATTTCTAATGGAAAACCATAGAACAAAGGAGAAATTATGAAATATTATAATATGATTGGATTCATTTAGAAAGGAATTGATTTGTCAGAATTGAAGATAATAAAAATATTAATTAATAATGATGCTGTATTTGAGAAAGAATCTATAGTTAAAGTACATTAAATTGAATAAGAGGGTTTGAGTAAGAAAGAGAAAAAGAAGGTTACTTAAAAACAGATTTTATTAATTCCTGTATTGGATTATAAGGTATATGACAAATTTTATGAATCAATTATTTTTTAAGCTTTAGTAAATGTTTTTAAGAATAAAGTGGAATTACCAATAGAGGAGAGTGTGGTAAAGAAGGAAATTTATAAATTGGATTAAGTTTTAGAAATGCCAGGACTTTATCAATATTTTCTTAGACATCCAAAAAAGAGATATACATTAATTGAATATTTTTAAGAGAATATTTTAGGTAAAGTTAAGACTCAATTAAAGGATTAAATTCATCCAGAAGTATATGAATAAATATCTGAAGATGGATTTAATTTGATTACATTTGAGGCTGATATTCCTTCATTAATGGCTATAATTTAAGCTATTTATGGTAATACATTAAGTCGAAATTAAATTTCAATAAATTTTGATAAATTGATAAAGTAAATAGAAATGAAAGCAAGTGATAATGATAAATACAATTGTTTAGTAAATTATCTGCATAAGGAGAAATTACATAAATTTTATAGTATAAATGGAAATTTATATGTAATAAACTAATATGGAAAGGCAATAGATAAAATTAAGACATGCAAATGTGGAAAATAATATTAAGCACCAGCAAAAATAAAATAAATTAATAATAATATGTTAATCTAAAAGATAATGGAAGTTTAAGAATTTATTGATAAAGATGTGAGAAATACTATAATTGTAGATTCTGCAGAAAAATTACTTTTAGCATAAGAATTCATGTCTTTTGATGTTAATTATATTGCAATAGATATAGAAGGATAATTGAAAAAAGGAGATATTTGGTTAATATAGATGGGTGTGATGGTTGAAAATTTAAGAATAATATTTATTTTTGATTTAATGAAAGCTAAATATTTGGAACGTGATTTACTATTTAATGAATAGATGTTAAGTGTGATTAGAACAATTTTAGAAGATGAAGGGATTTGTAAAGTATTTCATGATTGTAAAAGAGATAGTTAAGCATTACATATTAATTAAATATGTCCAAAGAATATTGTTGATACAAGTAGTACATATTAATTTTTGGAATATTTGAAATTGAATGATTAAGATTAGAAAAAAGTTAAAAAGAAGTATTATGATTATTTAATATTATAGTCCAATTTAAATATCAAAAGAAGTATTATAAGTAGCTACTCCACCAATTAATAGTGTATTAACAAAATATGGAGCTTTACATGGAGGAAATGAATTAAAAGAAGAAATGCATTAAAAATTCAATCATTGTAAACCAGATGATTTCTTTGCTCGTCCAAATCCTGCTTTTATGTATTATAGTGCAAGGGATGTGGAAGATCTTGTTTAGGTATATTTATAAATGGAAATGTTTGCTTTGGAATATAGATACATTATTGAGAAAATGAGTAACAAAAATAAAGAGTTTTATTTTAAGAAAAAGGATAATTGATTTGTATATATTTATATATATATATATATAATAATATATAAATTTATTGAAATGTTACCTAAAATGTTAGGTAATATTTAAATATGATCATCATTAGATGCTTCCTTTTTGTATGGAGAGAAGAGATTCTTAAAGAAGCTTAATCGATAATATGATGAAAAGTATTATGTTATTGATTAGTAATGAGATTAATTAAAACCAAGAAATGACATTTGAGGAAGTTTTATCTTCAAATATAGATTGTAGAGACAAGATAGAAAAGTTAGTTTCTGATTCCAATTTATAAAATGATTTTCTAATAAAAGCACACAATATAAACAAAGATTTGAAAGACTATTATTATCTACCTTTAGTTGCTTTAACTTTAGATCCTCCTAGTTATTATCCAGTAGATACTATTGATATTGAAACAATCTTTTAACATTTTGGATAAGTAATTAATTTAATAAATTATTCAAGATACTCAAAGTTATCAATAAAGACAAAATAGCTTATATTTTAATGAGAAGTATAGTTGAATGTTGGATTGCAGTCAAATTACTTAATAATACTCCAATTGAATTACCTGGTAGATTTGGAACTAATTAGATTCATACTCTTAAAGTATAATTATGTTTTGAAGATTCTTCTGTTCATCATATTTATCAATTTAATCATAGAAGTCTAACTGAAGAAGGATTAACTATTTAAAAGGTAAGAAGTATTAATTTTTAAGAAGACTCCAGATTTATTTGATAATTTAGAGAAAGAATATAAATATATATCTATATTTGAAATTGATGTAGATGTATTTTAGAAAGATTTCAATATTAAATAAAGAATATTAGGATTAAAGGGTTCAAATATAATTAGAATATTATATTTAGTAGAGAAAGCATTTGCATTTTAAACTAAAGAGAATACAAGTACTAAATAAGAATTAGATGTAAAATTATTAGTGGATGAATGTAAATTCCAATTTTATTTAGAGAATCTGAAAATTAGTTGATTTTACTTGGCAACTAATGGAATAAATTTGTATTAGCATAAAAATATGCAAATGAATTGTTTGCATAAATTAAAGAAGAGTTTAAGTTTTTCTAGGATTTCCAACTATAAGGATTAAAAGAATCCAGAGTTAGAAGAATTGATAAATTTGTTTAACCTGTTGAAGTTTAATATTCATATGATGCAGATTTGTGAATAATATATTTTGAGTAATCTTTATAAATATTAATTAATTTTTAATTTTTGTAAAAATTTAAATCATTTAATTATAATATATTAATATATATTTTATTAATCTCAAAATCTCATTTATATCTTTTTAGTTTTTAAATATCATATTTAATTCCATTAATACTGCCATAACTTCTAAATGATTAGAATTATATAGATGATGATTTATAAGAATCTTGTATTAATTCAATTATTATTAGTTTAATTTTAATTCAAATTATAAATATATCAATTTCATTTATTTCTTGGAGGACTTCCAAAAGTTTTTTTTCTATAAATTTATAAATTTTGAACCTCTTCACATAATTATTAATATTCCTTTTTTATAAACTTTATCATTTCTTCTTTTGAGAATTAATTCTATGAATTATTATTTATTTCATTTATATTTTATCCTTATTCTCCTTATTCATTTACAAGATCTTTTATTTAATTTAAAATTCTAGTTAATCTCTATTAATTATCACCAAAATTAGATCTTTTGTTCATTTATTTTATTTTTATTTTATATCCAGAGGTTTTATCAATTAAATTTCCTCATAATATTTTGATTTTAAATAATTTAAGCTAATCTTTATACTTATCAAATTAAATATCATTATTGATCTATACAATCATTTAATCAATTTCTTTTATAGATTTTATTACTTTATCCAATATAAAATTTAAATGTCCTTCTTTATGTATTGATAATTTTTAAATTTTAATAATAAAAATTGAAGTGTTAAGTAATTATTGTTTTATGAATACTATTTATCATTTAATATTTATATTTGAATCCCATTATTATTATTATATTAAATGATTGTTATATTTTTATTTTGAAACTAAATTAATATCAAAGTATATTTAGAGGCAATTCAAGCAATAAATATTGATATCTATGATCTTAACATGGTGCAAATAAATTTTATTTTTATTATTACATTCTGTTTTGATTATAAAAGCATTTTCTAAAAGTATTAACTATTTTATAAGAGTTAATCCCTTTATTAGTTCATCTTTCATAATTAATAGTTAATAAGAATGCTTTACGTTAATGATTATACTTGTTTTTTAGATGACATGGTGTAGCATTTAATAATTTATATAAAATGTTAAGGGGTGGCGGGGCATGTACTTCTTAAACTAAATAGCAATCTCTTTCAATCAGCTCATTATAAATTTCTAATCAATTTGAGAATGTTATCTCTAGTAATGTCTTATTGTTATCAAAAAATGCTGAGGATTTTAACAATAATTATACATAACTTTACAATAGTCTTTAAATATTGTTATCACTTGATTAAGAACTAAATAATCTCACAAAATCAAGGAATCAACTCAATAAATAGGTTGAATATTTAGAGAAATGGCTTACAGAAGTTCTTGAATCATGTTTGAAATTAAAGAACCCATAACTACGATATTTAGCACTCCAATTTGCTCAAAAACTGTCTAGAACTATATTTTGGTATTATTGTTAAGCAAAATCAATTAAAGATAGAATGCAGTAATAATATATTTCAACTTTAAATAAAATTGAGTCTTAAAATAATGCTTTAGACAGTTTTTACAAAAGTATGATTGACTATGAAATAATGGTATGTAAGATGATATTTGTTATTTTACCAAATGATATATAAGAAGGCTTGGAAGTTATGGCTTTATTTACAAGTTACAATCAAATTCTAATGACTACTCTTCCAAAATCAACTTAAGATACTATAAAAAGTGGAGTTGTTTAATCAATTAGAGATGCTACAAAAGTTTAATACAGAAAAATCTATAAATAAATTTTTAATATAGATACAATGAAGTGGTGGGTCATATAAGAACTTCGATAAAATAATCATTCAGCAAAAGAAATAATTTTAGAATTACATAATTTTCATAAAGATATATCAAAATCTGATTATTATGTACATTATGCTTGGATATAAGCTATAAGTGATATTGTATCATATGCTCCAATAATATCTGAAGATTAGATATAAATAAATAATTAAGATCTATAAGATTTGATTGATATGGGATGTTTATACAAAATAAAGAATGATTATCGTGTGACACTTAACTTTATTAAAATAAGAAATCAACATTGTCAATAAATATATGAAAAAATACCATATTTTACTATGATTAAATAAATATAAACTTAGATTATTTCTTAAGATAAATTCTTTAATTCTCTTTATAAGAAAAAAGAAGAATAAAAAGAATTATAAAAATAGGATTAAGAAACAAAAAGTGTATTTGAATATATTTTTTAATTGTTTGTTGAGATTGATATTGAAGCTAATATTGATTTGATTAAAAAAGTAAATTAAAGTTATATTGAATTAAATGAGAATATCACTTTAATTAAATAATTAAGTTTAAATAAATGGATTAGAATGTTAGAAAAGAAATCTTATGATGATCCTGTAGTATTTGGGGAATTTGAAGAAAAATAAAAATAAATTAAACATTTGATTAATTAAGTTAAAGGAATTTAAAGGTTTTTAATACATTTTGATTTTATACTATTATAATGGAATATAATGGAATAAATAGCTAATTCTGAAGGGAAATAAACATAATTATAATCAATATTCTTAGAAAATTAATAAAATTATTTAGATTGTCATTTAATAAGTAAAATAAATTTAGAAAATTTAAAGGATATTCAATTATTAAATATTAATTTTGATGTTTACTTTTCAATAATAACAGAATATATAGAGAAACAATATTAAACAGTTATAAAAGTTGTTTAAACAATTAGATCAACAGACCCTATTATTTCATTATATAAATAAAATAAAGATGTTACTGATATTGTTTAAAGTAGTTTAAGAAAAGTGAATGATAAAATAATTCAATTTAAAAATGCTTTTATGCGCATTTCTTTAAAATTAAAATAAGTAGATTTTAATTGTATTTAACAATTTTATCTTGTATCCCTTAGATTATAATATTTAGAATTTCCAAATTAATAATTTGAATTTAGAAATTAAGATCATAAAAATTTATTTTATATTTAAGGATATGAAAAATAAATAATAAAGAGTTAATTGATTGAATTACACAAAGAATTTAGAGAGTTATTTACAAGTAGTTAATTTTAAGATTATGAATAAGCTAAAGTTTATATAAGATCAATTTAATTTATTAGTAAAACAATTGATAATTTGTTAAATTAAAATAAGAAGATAATTTAACATATTCATAATTATAAATTGTCTATATAAATAGATTATGCATATGATTATTATAATGATTTAATAAATTAATGGAATACAATATTTGAAATGGCAGAAGAATTGGATTATCAAAAATATGACTAATCTTTTATTTAAATAAAATATGATGAATTAAAAAAGAATTATGATTCTATTTGTTAAATTAATATATCTATAAGATGGCCACTTAATCCTTAATTAGCTTCATATTTCAAGATGTAAAATTAATTAGAAGCATTAATTCAAGAACTCTAAATTTATTAAAGTTACAATCTTAATTAAGATTTAAACTCTTAATTTAGGTATTAAAGTATTATTACAAATATTAAATAAATATGTCTAAGTTAAGTGTAAAAAGTTAAGTCTATTCTTGAATAATATACATAAGGAGTTGATTAATTATCAAATCGATTAGAAAATTATACTAATTTTTAAATTGAAGAATTATAAAACTTATTAACTAGTGTACAAGAAGCTTTAGATGATACTTTAAATGTAGTTTAATCTAGAATATTAACATCCAATTAAACTTCAACTAGTGGATCAATAAACATATTGTAAAGTAATAAAAAATAAGATTTTGAGACATTTTATAATTATAAATTTAATACAGAAACTATTATTGTTATGTAATTTATAAAATTTAATTTCAATTTTATAGATTAAAATGCAATTTTAGAAATACTCAAATCAAATCAAAATGATTTAGAAAATTTGCATGTTGTTTAATCAGCTATGGAATCTCCAATAATAAGATAAATTATGATTGTTAATTTAATAAATGTTTGGAATTGTTGTTTAGTAGAAGAAGATTTTTGTACGATTAGTAAATTAATTTTATAAATTCGATTAAATGAAACTAATATATTAATTAAAAGAGAAATTAAATCAACTTATAAAAAAGAGCTTAATTAAATTGTTAATAATTAACTATAAAGTGAATTACCATTTTTTGAGTTAGATTTAAGATAAATGATTTAAGAAAGAAATTCATTATATTTTTAAATTAAATATGAACCAACCTTTGAACTTTCTTAAAAATTAGAAGAAAAGATCAATAAATTAACAAATCAAATATAAACAAGAATTTAAAATTGTTAAGAATTGGAATAAGAATATCATATTAATATACCATTTTGTAATCAATTATTGTCAGAATTTGAAAAAAGTTACTAAGGTTCTTAATCTTTAGAAATATAAGAGATTAGCTTTTATTAAGGAAAATCAATTACAGAATTATTTTTATTAAGAATGGATAATATTTCAAGAAAAATAAAAATTTCTTAAGTTAAAAATACATATGTTGAATTTGAATGTTAAAATAAAAATTAAATTAGATCATTATTTTCATAAAAAGAAAAAAGAAATAGTACTATTGATAGATTTTTAGATGATTTATAATAAGATCAATTATTATTATTATAAGGAGAATCAGGATCAGGAAAGAGTTTAGCAATTAAAATGATTGAAGAATACGTTTGGAAAAGAAATGATCCTATTAAAATAATTCCAATAATTGTTAAAATATCATAATTGAAAGATCCAATTAATAATGCTATAATTGAAACTTTAAGATCCTTAAATTATAAATTAAATGCTTCATAAATTGAATAATTACAAACTCATATTAAATCTAATAAAATGCAAATGCTATTTATATTTTAAGGTTATGATAAACTTAATCAAAATTAAAAATGTATTAATTTTCTTAAATCCAATAATTTAATTTAATGGAATACACCTTGTTTATAGAATACTCCAAAATATATTATTGTAACAAGAAGTGAATAATTTAAAAATCCTAATCATTTACGTTGGATTGATTAAAATGAGTTAAATTATAAAATTAAAAATTATTGGAATTTAAAAATAATTCCTTTTGATTTTGATTAAATTAATTAATTTTTAATTTAATATTAGGAAATAAGTATAAGAAATGTTGTTATGGATTTTTATTAACTTATGTGTGAATTTCCACATTAAGATTTATTGATTTATAATTTTATCTCTTTTTGGAAAAAAATTAACTTTAATTTTAATGAATAGAGTTTAGGAAATATATTACTCTCTTAACCAATAATCAATAAATTAATCATTACATTATAATAAGATACAAATATTAAAAATTATAAAGGTTCTATTACATAATAATTATCTTCTTAATTAGGATAATTAAAATCAAGTTATTATTATAGTAAAATGTTGGAAACTCTTTAATTTGAATAACCAATTGATAATCCATAAATCTTAAAGGTTTTTATTAATGCATTACCAAAATTAATGTAAAATTTGATTGACATTCCTAAAATTAAAAATTAATTTTTTAATGTCTTTTTTTGTTAAAATTATTAAAGTATTTGTGATATTAGTGAAGCTAATAATGAATTAGAAAAACATTGGAATCAATTGATTAATAGTTAATTTTTTAAAATGTATACCATAGATTATTCAATAGCAAAAGCTAAATTAACAATAAACTAATTATTTTAAAATGATAAAACATTGATAAATAAAATAATAAAAGCATTTGAAAAAATATAAATTACACATTATGATCTATATGAAGAATACATGAATTATTACTTTGATAAGTCTGTTATTAATTCTGAATTACAAGAATAAGGGATTGATAACATAACATTTAGAGAGGAATAATGGAACTTTTGTTTAAATTTAGCATAATAATTAGCTTTTAATGAAATATATTCAATCAAATTGAATAATTAAAGTTCATCAAAGGCAATAGGATCTGTAACTGATTTATAAATAATATTGCATGATGATATATATTCAATAAAAGATACTCTTATTACAAAAAAGTATTAAAGAAACTCTCTTCCTTTAATAGAACAATTTTCAGTATATTCTTTTGAAAGCAAAATAATTTAAGAATTCTTAGTAGCTAAAGTAATTATAAAATAAATTGAATCAATAGATGTTATTCCAATTAATGAACTATTTGATAATAGTATACTTAAAATTAAAAATTTATCAAATCCATTTTATATAGGAACTGTCAATTTTATTATTTAAAAATTAAAATCAAATTTTTATTCCAAGAAGAATTTAATGAAGATGATATAATTATCATCAAATAATCCTGATTTCTGTCAATTATCATCTAATGCTTTTTTTTTATTAATTTAATTGGATAGAATTATTAGAGGAGCTAATCTTATGAATATAAAACTAAAAGACATTTAAATAGAAGATTGTTATTTATAAGATTGTAATCTTAATGGATGTGAATGGAATAATATAAGTATAAAGAATCTTACATTAACAAATAACAATATGTAGAATATGATTTGTACAAATCTTAAATTAGCCTCATATTTTATAAGAAATAATTTAAAAGATCACCTTTTTGTTAGAATATTTTAATCTGGTAAACTTTTTATTATTTATAAAAATGCAATTAAAGATGTATATGGTAATTTAATTATTAATGGTAATTTTGAAAAGTGTTAAATATATAAAATAGGTAATGATTTTTATATTACAACATATAATTAATTTTATCTTCTAAAAGAATATAATAATTAAATTAAACAATATTAATTTAATATTGGTAATGTCTAATCAGTAACATAATTTGATTAATATATTATGCTATTATAATTGATAACATCTTCTGATGCTAAAATATTCTAATATAATCCAATCAAATAAGAAATCTAATTTCAAATTCCTATATTAGTCTAAGATATTATCAAATATAATATTAAATAGTTTTATGAGATGCAAGGTAATCTTATAGTTTTTTTAACATAAACTTAATTAGTGTAAAGCATGCATTATTAAATTGAAGAAGGATAATTATCCTTTGATAATTTAACAGTTCATACTACCTTAGATAATATAGAATGCATAAATTAGATAAAATATTATTAAGATTTAGATATCACTGTTGTTACAAAGTAAACAATAGATACTAATAAAGAATATGATATAATTTATGGTACCTTTAATTAATTGATTGGAAAATTTATTATAATTGAAAATTAAAAAAATTAGTTTTTATATTTAAACAACACAAATTTATAATTAATTAGTTAGGAAACATTTAAAATGATAAGTGAATGTGAATTGAATGAAAATACTTAACATTTATAAAAAAATCAATGTTATTTAATAGATAATGATACGATGTTGTTAACATTTTAAGATTCTTTTTTAATTTTGAGTTTATAACCTTTTGAAGTAATTAAACAAATTAAAATAAGAACTAATGATCTCATAATAAATTAGGAATTAAATAATATTTAATTATTGACTAAGTCTGAACTTCTTTGTATTGATATACCTTATATTTAAGATAGATAAGATAAAATTATAAATTCAGCATTTTAATTAGATATGGTTTATTTTGTTTAAAATTCTTTTAATTTTTTAGCTAAAATGAGTAAATCTTCTGATATTTATATAGGAATGTTGAAGAATAACAATTTTGAATTTCAAAATTTATGTCAATCTGATTATCCTTAATTTTATTTAAATAATGATGAAAACTATGCAATTATTAATAAAAATAATGAAACTGTATGTTATGATCTAAAATCAAATACAAAAATGAACTATGTTGCATTATTGTATGATAGAATCTTGTGGATTAAAGATAACTAAAATTTCTTTTATTTATAACATGTTTACTTAGAAGAATTTAGAAATTCTTTGATTACTGTAAAGAATAAGATCATTAATAAATAGTCTTACAGATAAATTAAATCAGTTTAAAGCACAGAAAAAAGATTATTTATAACTACTACAACAAATGAAACTATTGTGTTAAATCAATAATTTTAATAGGAATACATTACAACTAAATAAATGATTAAAAAGTATAGAGAATTCTATATAACAAACCATGATCTTAGATATGAGAGTAATATAAGAAATACTATCAGAATTATATATGATTCAAAAAATTAAATTAAAGATTTTTGGATATTTTCAGAAACAATATTAATTAGAGAATAAGAAGATAATAATGAAATGAATACTTTAGTATTATTGAGAAAATCAGATAATTTAATATTGACTAAAATTTAAATTTAAATTGATCATATTGTTTATACAGATAATGTTATATAGATTATTAGTCAGAAAATTTTATGGTTAACATATTCAGCAAAAGATTTTTAATAGCTACAATCTAACATATTAAATATTAACTCAATTTAAATTTCATCAAATAATTTAGATTAAATTGCTATTGTTTCTACTTTTTCAGAAATTACTATTTGGAATACAATTACATATTAAATTCAATAAAGTTTAAAAAATATAGAACTAATATAATATTTTAAAATGATACCAAATAAAGATAGACAATTTTATGTTGCTGATAGAGATGTTTTAAAATTTTACAATCAAAATTAAGTTAGGTTTACAATTTAATTAATAAAAAAAAGAATATAAATTGTAACTAATACATGGGGTGCTATTCATCATATTTATTAAGTAGAAGAAGATAAAATCACATTAAATAGTATGAATGAGGATTGTAAAATAATTAATTGGAAAAAAGTAGTATTTGAATTAGATTCAATAAGAGAATAAATAGATTGTATTGATAATCAAGATTAAAAATTAATATTTTTTAGTGGATAAAAACTATAATAAAGTAATTTTGATTCATTTGATGTAATAAAGAGTTTAACATTTCCAGATTCTTTTAAGGCTATTTAAATAAAATATAATCAAGATTGCTCTTTAATAATATTAAGATCTAATGAAAAAATTATTATTGTAGAAGCATAAGGTTTAAAAATTATGAATTAAATAACATTTAATGAAATTTTTCTATCATTTTTTGATTATGCATCTTAACTTGAAATCTATGTATAAGGACAAAATAATTTGATTTTCAAACAAGTTAAAGATATGCAAAATTTAATTTATACTTATTCTTTAACTTCTAAAAAATTAGATTTAATTAATATAAGCAATGATGAATTAATGATAGGATCTAATTCTTAAGGTCTAATCATAATTAATAAATAAACTGGATCTATTGAATTATACAATCCAATAATTATAGAAACTAAATTTAATTCTATATCATATATCAAAACAATAGAACATAATGTATCAATGCTTGCCAAATGTTAATTATATGGTAATTAACTACAAAATTGTAATATAACTCTTAATAATCAAACTAATATTAGTGATATTTGGAGAAATATCATATCAGATAAATGATAATTATTTATATTTTAAATATAACAATTCAATAATTATTATTATTTCACTTCTAAATAAATATTAAATTGTTAATATTTTAATATATATTAATATAAATAATAAAATTCATTAAAGTAAAACATTTTAATTTTGTTCTATTAGTTTAATTTGATTCAATTAGGTTTCTAATTTTATAAAATTGTAATATTTAATTATAAGTATCTAATATAATAATAATATCAAGAGTTGAAAATCTCTTGGATACATAGAATCTTTCTTTATATTTTTAAATACTTAATTCAATTTTATTTTTTAATCTAAATCTTCTATTTTCAACTTTCTTTTGCAGAATAATGAATTACTATGAATTATACCTTATTCTTATAGAGATATATTGTATTTTCAATATCTAAGTAAAATAACTTAAAATAAATCTATTTGGTATAATATTTATATATAATTTGAATCAATAGCATTTGGATTTGATCTCAAAGATTCTTTTTTTTGCTTAAAAATTCGCTAACTAAAAGCTTTTTCTGTAAACGTCACTCCAATTTGAATAACCAATCTATGGCACATACCAGCAAATTCTAAACCTCCATCTCCTAAAGCACTTTCTAGCAAATCTAAATGTTATATGTTAATATGATGCATAAACATCAAATGTCAAACTTTCGATCTAAAAATCTAAAAATACAATATATTTTTCAGGTATGATTACATTGTCTACTTAATTAATCATAAATTATGCAACCCCATTAGCAGATCCTTTGAAAATATATCCTTGAACTCCTGCTCTAATGTAAATTATATGTACTAAATTTAACTCTCCATAAGCTGTAACACTCAAAGATGCATAAATATATTAAGAAATACCAAATTCATTTTCAGTTTTGATAGGAGATTCAATAAAACCCCAAGAATAATTATAATCTGCCCCAACAGTTACAGGATAACCCATGATTAAAATAATTATACTAAAAATTCTCTGAGATTTCTCTCCTTTTATTTCAAATTTTTCTAAAGGTTTTCCTTGATATGAAAAATCTCTTTTGTATAAATCAACTACGCAACCACCATTAAGTGAAACACAAGTTTTGAAAAACCCTGAAGCATTTCCTTCTTTTACTTCTCCTTTAAATTCTGCTTATAATCCAACTTTTTATTTCAATACTGTAGCTTCTTTTAGAGTTCTTTTTTAGTTGAAAATACTAGAAGTACATTCACCTTCTTAACCTTCATATTCAGTTTCAGAATTAGAATGAACATCTCCATTTTCATTTTCTAATAATCTATTACCTTCTTATTATAAATCTTACACTTAATCTTATTAATCTTATTAATTTTATATTTTATCTTATAAATCCTAAATAGTATAATATTGAATAGTTTATTTATTTTAAATATCTGTTAGGATATTTGTTAATTCTTCATCTGATTTGGTTTCAACAGTTATTAAATTTGAATCATTAGTAATTTCTGTCTCTGATTTATCAGCTAAATCATCAGAGTTTTAATTAACATTTTCTGTTTATATAGAATTACTATATTTAGAATCAGTAGTTATATGTGAAGATACTAAGTAATTGTTATTGTCTAGGATAGTTTCTTATGATTATTCAAACATATCAAAAATATTGATTCCTTAAGAATTACCATCTATTTTATCTGATTAAGATATAGTCTTTTTAATTACAGTATTACCAAACCATGATTTTGTTTTACTTGACTTAGGAATAAATCTTTCCTTACCAATATAGTAAATATTTGAATAATCTTCATTTAATAATCTATTCCCATCAGTTCCAGTAGTATTAGTTGATTCAGCTACATTTGGAGCAATATGTATAATGTTAGAAACTAATGGTTATATGAGTAGATCTGGAATTTCAATAGGTATTCCAATTTACTATATTGCTCCAGTCTATTAGTCAGTAATTACTGTAACTAATGGTACCTCATTTACATTTCCACATTCATCTGCAGGAATTCCTTCACAAAAATTGTCATTTTCTGTAGGTTGACTTTTTTGTAATCTTCTTAAAGATTTCTTAATTTATTCTTCTATTTCTGTATTCTAATCAATCATTTCATCATACTATCTGGTTCCATCAGAATTCTATTAGAAGGTTTTGACTTTCAAGCTTGTTAACATCAACAAGCTTGTGGCATTTTATTCGTTGACATCATTAACCACTCTTTTTGTTTTCATTTCAATTTAAGTACAATTGTGGATTTTATCTGATGTATAGTGCATACAGATTTCATCCACCTATTAGAATTCATCTCTTTAGAATTTTTTAAGTGTTGGAGCAGAACTAGTATTTTGACTTAGATATATTCCTAAAAATATTCCGATACCAGCTAATACAAAGAAAGTAACACTGAAAGAAATCCATTTACATTTTGTTGAGAAGTATTACTTAATTGGTTCTTTCTTATCATGTTACTTGTCTGATAAACTTGGACTGCTATCTGGATTTATCTCCTATTTTTCTTCTTACATATGTGTTTATTGCATTTTAATATTAATATTATTTACAAAAATGGCTTGCTTATATAGCCAGAAAGATACAGAATATTAATAATTTCTAGAACAAAGTTCTAATTAAAATTTATATTAAATATAATAAAATATACTTAATTAATAAATGCTAAATTATTATATAATAGTTCAGTTACATTATATTATATTTTATAATATTGTTAATTATTATGCTTATTTTGATTGAATCGAAGGTCCTTCAAACTAAAGTATTCTCATTATTTATTCTTCAAATGTATAATAGAGTCCCACATAAAATTCTAAGTTAATATAAAGAATAACAAAAAGATAATATAATTAGTTTTTGAAAAAGAATATTTTTATTATGATCTTGACTTATTGAAATTTATGATTCTCAATAGTTCTCAATATTTAAATCCATTAGCTTAATTAGATTATACATTCTTTTTAATCATTCCAGCAAGGATGCAATCCCATCTTAAAAAAATAATTTTTAGCTATTGCAATTAATAACATGGTTAGAATGTGATATACAATATATATTTTGACTAATCTAACATAATAATGAAGAATTTTCGAATTTAACAAGACCTTCATAATTTCATATAATCCACTCAAATCCTAATTATTATTAACCCTAATATTAACTTCCTAAATTACAGAGCCTTAAGAGAAGTTGATTATATAAATAATTGACTTAAAATTTATCAAAAAAGATTGATGACTGTGCTGTCTTTGCAATTAAAGTGGAATTAGGAAAAGAATTTTATTGCTTTAAATTTGAAGAAAAATATTGTTTATAAAAAAAATTATATTCTATTCCATTAGATTAAAAGCATTCTTCTTGTTAGCATTAAAATATATAATATAAGTAATTGAACTCACTAATTATTCTTATTTAAGCTTATATTCTTTTATATTTACTATTAAAATGGTTATAATAAAAAATGAAATTAATTAAAATAATTATATCAAGAATTAATTATTTCTTCTAATTGATGCTATAATAAGATAATTTAATACATTAATTTTGTTTAGAAATTGTTTATCTTATGAACTTGTTGTATCTATAAGTAATTAAATTTCTGAGAATGGATGATCTACATTACTCAATATTAAACAGTACTTCATTAACTAATCAATTAAACCAGAGTTAATAGCTATGTAATAATATTATAAAGAGAACCCTTAAGAATTGCACTCATCAATTATAAACACCTCAACTTTTCTCTTGGATAACTCATATATTCAATTTTATCTAATTCATTTAAAGCTTCATTAATTCTTATGGTTTATTATGAATTAAATTCTGGAATTTAAAGATCTTTATGTAATTCATTTTTGATCTAATTATTATTTCTGTCTATTTTTTTAGATCTAAATAATTCATTTTATTATTTAAACATATTTTAGTATTATGGCAAAATGCAATGAGATAATTTTAAATAGAAATATTTTTCTATTGAAATTTTACAATAAGGCATTATTTAAGTTGTTTCTTATTTACCNTTTTATTCTTCAAATGTATAATAGAGTCCCACATAAAATTCTAAGTTAATATAAAGAATAACAAAAAGATAATATAATTAGTTTTTGAAAAAGAATATTTTTATTATGATCTTGACTTATTGAAATTTATGATTCTCAATAGTTCTCAATATTTAAATCCATTAGCTTAATTAGATTATACATTCTTTTTAATCATTCCAGCAAGGATGCAATCCCATCTTAAAAAAATAATTTTTAGCTATTGCAATTAATAACATGGTTAGAATGTGATATACAATATATATTTTGACTAATCTAACATAATAATGAAGAATTTTCGAATTTAACAAGACCTTCATAATTTCATATAATCCACTCAAATCCTAATTATTATTAACCCTAATATTAACTTCCTAAATTACAGAGCCTTAAGAGAAGTTGATTATATAAATAATTGACTTAAAATTTATCAAAAAAGATTGATGACTGTGCTGTCTTTGCAATTAAAGTGGAATTAGGAAAAGAATTTTATTGCTTTAAATTTGAAGAAAAATATTGTTTATAAAAAAAATTATATTCTATTCCATTAGATTAAAAGCATTCTTCTTGTTAGCATTAAAATATATAATATAAGTAATTGAACTCACTAATTATTCTTATTTAAGCTTATATTCTTTTATATTTACTATTAAAATGGTTATAATAAAAAATGAAATTAATTAAAATAATTATATCAAGAATTAATTATTTCTTCTAATTGATGCTATAATAAGATAATTTAATACATTAATTTTGTTTAGAAATTGTTTATCTTATGAACTTGTTGTATCTATAAGTAATTAAATTTCTGAGAATGGATGATCTACATTACTCAATATTAAACAGTACTTCATTAACTAATCAATTAAACCAGAGTTAATAGCTATGTAATAATATTATAAAGAGAACCCTTAAGAATTGCACTCATCAATTATAAACACCTCAACTTTTCTCTTGGATAACTCATATATTCAATTTTATCTAATTCATTTAAAGCTTCATTAATTCTTATGGTTTATTATGAATTAAATTCTGGAATTTAAAGATCTTTATGTAATTCATTTTTGATCTAATTATTATTTCTGTCTATTTTTTTAGATCTAAATAATTCATTTTATTATTTAAACATATTTTAGTATTATGGCAAAATGCAATGAGATAATTTTAAATAGAAATATTTTTCTATTGAAATTTTACAATAAGGCATTATTTAAGTTGTTTCTTATTTACCAAAATTGAAAGATTGAAATAATGTTTCAACTATTTAATTAATAAATGAATTTAATTATTAAACATTTTACNTTTTATTCTTCAAATGTATAATAGAGTCCCACATAAAATTCTAAGTTAATATAAAGAATAACAAAAAGATAATATAATTAGTTTTTGAAAAAGAATATTTTTATTATGATCTTGACTTATTGAAATTTATGATTCTCAATAGTTCTCAATATTTAAATCCATTAGCTTAATTAGATTATACATTCTTTTTAATCATTCCAGCAAGGATGCAATCCCATCTTAAAAAAATAATTTTTAGCTATTGCAATTAATAACATGGTTAGAATGTGATATACAATATATATTTTGACTAATCTAACATAATAATGAAGAATTTTCGAATTTAACAAGACCTTCATAATTTCATATAATCCACTCAAATCCTAATTATTATTAACCCTAATATTAACTTCCTAAATTACAGAGCCTTAAGAGAAGTTGATTATATAAATAATTGACTTAAAATTTATCAAAAAAGATTGATGACTGTGCTGTCTTTGCAATTAAAGTGGAATTAGGAAAAGAATTTTATTGCTTTAAATTTGAAGAAAAATATTGTTTATAAAAAAAATTATATTCTATTCCATTAGATTAAAAGCATTCTTCTTGTTAGCATTAAAATTTATAATATAAGTAATTGAACTCACTAATTATTCTTATTTAAGCTTATATTCTTTTATATTTACTATTAAAATGATAATAATAAAAAATGAAATTAATTAAAATAATTATATCAAGAATTAATTATTTCTTCTAATTGATGCTATAATAAGATAATTTAATACATTAATTTTATTTAGAAATTGTTTATCTTATGAACTTGCTGTATCTATAAGTAATTAAATTTCTGAGAATGGATGATCTACATTACTCAATATTAAACAGTACTTCATTAACTAATCAATTAAACCAGAGTTAATAGCTATGTAATAATATTATAAAGAGAACCCTTAAGAATTGCACTCATCAATTATAAACACCTCAACTTTTCTCTTGGATAACTCATAAAGTACATTCAAAGTTTTAATAATGAAGAAAATTTGATAATTAATAAAGTGAAGGCATTGAGAGATTCTCTAAAAGCACATGCTTTATGGGTAGATTTATTGTTGATATTAGAAAAGTATTGACTGAATTTTGAAATTTATGAGATTGATTAAAAAATTAATCAAATTAAAACAGAAATTATATATAATAAAAATAATTGAAAAAGGGCCTTTATATATACAACTATAATGGAAAATGGGTAATTACAGAACATTTACTTGAACCTAACGTAGATCTTAGTATAAATATGTAATATAGAAGTTATAATCGAGAATTTCAAAGAAAATATGCTTTTGATTATTTCACTATTCATAGGATGATATTTTACTAATTTTTTTTAAATGAAGTAGATGGAAAAAAGATTAATAGACATCTACCTAAGGTTAGTTTTCATAAAACTATTTAATTATTGTATTTCTTTATATTGAAATTGTGGTAATATATTTGAATTCTATTCTAATTTAGTAGATAATAAGAAATTCAAAATATATTTTTATTTATTCATAATTAAATATAAATATAATTTTATTTTATATTTAGGAAAGCATATGGGACAAATACCCAAAAATTTTCTTCAAACCAAGAAGATTTTTCATGATTGTACAATAATCTCCAATTTAGTTTAGGATTTAGAAGGTTTTCACGTTTAACTTTTTTTATTCAAAAATTAATCAAAGAAATTGTGCCAATAATTTGAAATATATTTAGAATGGTATAAGATGTGTTGATTTTACACTTTCTAATTAATTAACTGGAGTCAATTAAGCAGAATGCTTTTACATAATCAAAAAATGGTCCATTATTTCATTGTAAGAATTGTGCAAACCAAGAAATGTTAAATTTATCAAATTAAAAATAGATTTAATTTAACTATCTTTTAATATTGAATTTCTTATCTAGAAAAAATATAAGCTCAGAAATTACAAGTTAATTGAATTCAAATCAATTGTTTTAAACATATCTAAATAATATTTATATTTATTTCATAGTTAGATTTAATTCTATTTTTTTTTGTTCATTTTTAGTTATTTTTTTGCTGTTGTAATAAATTACAAATTTCTATTAATTCAAAGACAATAACAAACTCTTAAAAATAAAAATCCATTAAGTTGTATCTAATTTATATTGCACTTATTTTTATTTCATGATTATTATGATAATATAGATAAATTATATTACTTGTGATATTAGATAATTCATTGTAAGAGATTGTAATTTATTGTTAAATTATAGATATATTACATATATTGTATGTGATAAATATATTTTATTAGAGTGATAATCATGTCATTTGATTAATTTAAATTTTTTATCAATTTTTGATAATAATTATTGTGCTTAATCATAATTCTTTGCTTAAAATTTGTATTAATTTATACAATTAATAAATTTCCTATTTCTATGAATCAGGAATTTACTTTCTAACGAATATCTTCTTCTTCAATGTAAACAGATGAATTAAAAAAAAAGTACATTCTCTAAAAGATTCTAGGCTATGGTCGATATGGGTATATATTATTCTTATTCTTAGAACTGTATATAAAGGTGTAAATTTGCGCACCAAAGAAACAGTTGCTATCAAAGAATTGTGCCATAGCATTGCTGATTAAGGGGTTTGCTATATTATTTAATTCAAGATTAATGTATAAGCCTTAAGAGAAATTGAAATACTTAAATCCGTCAAATGTGAATAAATTGTGGCTTTCAAAGATTTAGCTTGTGGATAGAATAAAACTTATATAATTATGGAATATATGGAAGAAGACTTATTAACTGCTTTAAGAAGAGATACCTTCTCAGAACAATAAATCAAAATGATCATGTTTTAAGTGCTTTAAGGTTTGGCTTACTTACACAATTAAGGAATTATCCATAGAGATTTAAAACGTAACATTTTATATTACTATTTTAGCTAACAATATTTTATATAGAAATTTAGAAATTAAAATTTGTGATTTGGGAATGGCTCAAAATTTAAATAAGTTAAAGCCACAAACAACCCGAATTCAAAATCATTCATACAGGGCTCCAGAAGTGTTCCTTGGTTTATTAAATGACTAATATTAGGTTAAAAATATTGCTCTAAGGTTGATGTTTGGTCTGCAGGAGTGCTATTTATTGAATTGCTCTTTAAAAGCAATCCTTTTAAAGGATCATCTGAAGTTGCTAGTTTTAATTAAATTTTGAAATTTTGTGGAACTCCAGTTGAAGGTATATTATAAAATAATGTATAGAAAATTGGTTAGGGGTGACATCACTCAAAAACTACTCTACTCTTATAACTGAAGAACCATAATCAAGAACCCTTCAACATTTACTTGAGAAAAAAATGCCTCCATTATTAGTAAATCTAATTGATTCAATGCTTATTCTTGATCCTTCCTAGAGAATAACTGCATAAGAAGCTCTTTTGCATCCTTATTTTCATGGAATGAATATAGAAAGGTATTATTTATTATTTTATCCTTATTACACAGATGCCTTAAAAAAATTTAGGCAAACAGAAAAAATATAAAGACTGAATCGTAAACTTAAACAGAAGTCTTTAACTACCCTAATGGAAACAAAATAATTGTGGTTTCGTAAATCTCCCAAAAAAGCAAAAATTGCTTTTGAAAACTCAATAATTTTGTTTCTCTTAAGTCTGTTTATAATTTATAATAATTAATACATAACTATTTATAATTATTTCAATATTAGACTTTCTTAAATTCATCATAGAAATCAAAATTCTTGAATTTATGTTAAATATCAATTTAATAAACTCTAATTTAAATAATTGATTTAATTAGAGTATTCAATTAATTGATAGGGTACCTTTTATTCTTTATATATTTAAAAATAATATCCACTATTATGGCTTAGCTATTTTTAAATCTTTCAAAGTTACTAAATCATTAATTATTTTAAATAATAATGGGTTGTACTTTAACAAAAAATAAATATAAACGAGACCTTTGTTTTTTGAATATTCCAATTCAAACAGGAAGAAATATGTGTAAAGAGGAAGGAATAATATCTAGAGAATACAAAAAAAGTTCATCTTAGAATAGAACTTTAAATTAATAACAAATAATTACTTATAATAATGAAAGTCCTCATAATTAAGAGTAAAAATATTGAATGCTTCTCGACTACAATTTATTTACATCTTAATGAATATTTATTATTAATATTATACATATAGTCTAACTCAATTTGTTTATCTGATAGAGAAATGATGGCTCAAAAATAAAAACTACAATTCAAATTAATATTTATTAATTGAAATAATAAATATAAGACTTATAAATAATATCCCATCTAAGCTACTGCTTTTAGAATAACAATTTTATTGCAATCTTTTGTTGAAAGTGTGTAGTAAGATTTTAATTAATTTAAGAGTTTTTAACTAAAATAAAACGATATTATTATAAAATTAAATAGAAAGTATTAATCAAATACTTATTTAATATTAATTATTTAAAAAGTAAAAATACATGAATAATTATCATAAATAAATAATAATATATGGAATCTAGTTAAGAGCTTGTATAAATTAAATATTTCGTCTAGAGTATGTAAAATAAACTTTAGTAATGAAAATATGAAGATTAACAATTTATATAATTTTTCGTTTTTTCTTTAAATATTAAAACATAAATGCTTTGGGATTTTTTAAATGATTATTCTTGATTTAAATTTAATTAATTCTCTATCATTAATACGTATATTCAATAAAATAAAATAAGTTAGAAAAAATACATTATAATTTGATAATCTAAACTAACTGAAAGCAAATTTCCATTGAAAAAGAATTTCCTCCTCATTCAATATGTTTATCGTAAGCTATAACAATGTTGATAATTTATTATATATTTTATTTCAAGTAGGCCTCTTGAGAAAAAGATCGAATAAGTTAGTTCAATATGGAGAAAAAAATATATATATTTATGTATTTTAAACACCAAAAGGAATATAATTTCTAATGAGATCAAAATAAAGTTATGTAATTTGTACTCATCCAAA